GAAACCAATCTTTAGTAAAAATTTAATGAATCCTTAAAAAGTACTTAAATGTTTCTTTAAAAAGCACCAGTTTCTTACAAAAAGCACATAACCGATGCTTTTTGAAGAAAACACTTCAAATATTTTTAGAACTAAAAACCTTTTTTCATAAAACGATTTCAGTCATTTAAAGAAAAAACTTTCAAACAAGCGCTATAAAGTTTCGAACTTTTTGTCAATCAATACTTAATATTCCCAAACAACAAGTCAACAACCTTTTGAACATAAGTCAACAATTTTAGTTAAAATGGACAATGGATTTTTTTTCTTCTTCTTCTTGTTTGGTCCAGGCAACACTTCGCCAGATAAATGGGCAACCCCAATCAAACTCTTAAGCCTTAACTTGCCCACTACGACATCAGACAAAGTTCATGCGATTCCCGTTCGAAACGCATTAAGTGGAGCCAAAGTTTTTGTACCAAAAAGAAGGGAAAGGAGCAATGGTGCCCAACTGCTTTGACGTAGAAACTTGAAAGCACACCACGTGACAATACATGTCACATGACAGATATCACAATTTTCCCTTTAAAATCTCAGAATAAAAAAATCTCAAGAAAAATAAAAATAAGTCCAACATTTATTAATTATGTTTTGACCCAAAAAAAAAATTATTTACAAGAAAACAACTTACATGATACTCTATTATGTGTCATTTTATGTCAATAAAACAAAGATATATGAACAGAAAATAGACGTATTTTTTTATTTTATTAGCACATAACTCAACTTAACGGTAAATACATATCATATAAGCTCTTTTATAAACATAAAAATTATACGCTTAACATATGAGTTTATCAATTGTTGTCAAGCATATTAAGATATGGGACCCACCCAAATGTCAACATAAAAATCCACCGACGATTGGCGTTTACAGACGGCGTTGTTCGATTCTCATTCGCCGAGCGGGAAATCCGAAGGCTTTTGTTGTTTTGTCGAATTTGGGGTTGTTCGGTTTGATGCCCTCCATTCGAATAGTGGCCATAAGTTAAATGTCATCGTATCTAACGTGGCTTTCTCCCTACCATTTTTCCTCACACCTACCAAATCTTAGACTTTATCAAATTTATCAATCACATTCCAGCTTCTTAAATTCCATCTAAATTTCTTGTGATATTGATAAGGAAAAGTCTTTTGTTCCATGTGGATACAACAACAAAATTAGCAAGCTGTGCTAATTGACCTTTCATTTCCTTATGTATTCTCCTCATTTTTATTAACGGAAGAATATTTCAAATTCTTCTTAAATAGATAACAGAGATAAATATATATTAATTACGCACACATATACCACCAACATAATGCCCCTAGATCGTAATCAGCACATCTGCCGTATTGCCGTCAAGGACATGTAATCGACAAATCCCAAATACAACAACTATTCCTCGATCCAAACCCAAAAATTGTGTAATTGTTAAAATAAAATAAAAAACTAAAAACTATGTAAAAAGCACGTGATATTTTATACATTAATATGTTGCCTAAGTTACTTTAATACATCGATACCAAACTCATTAAATTATAAAGAGAATTAAATCTAATTTTTCGCACAATATTTATAAAAAATAAATATTACTGGATCGTAATAATCGAGGTTAAGGATCTTGAGAAAAAAGAATTCTAGGAAGGTTCCTGCAAGTACAAAAAACCAGCGTGTATTTAATCTGACAGGGAAAGAATTGAGGGCATTGGGAAGGACGACTGAAAACCTTTTCTGGATAGTCATGAGACTCAGAGCCGTGCAGACCCCACTGCCACTTTCCTCCTCTATCTCTTTCTCTTAACTTCCCCTTCACTCTCTCCCTTACATTCTCTCTCTCTCTCTAGTAATTTCCCTCTCTCTCTCCCCATTCAAACGCTTTGAAAAGCAGCAACTTGTCCTTGAAATCCCTCCCTCACGGCCACCACCATCTTATGCGCATCTCATTCGCATTCCCTTCATTTCTCTTAGCCTTCATTTGCACACTCTGTTCGCCCTTTCTCCATTTTTGTTATAATAAAGCTGAGGCGAAACGATAGCAGTTTTATTACAACAAGCTTGACTGAATTGTCCAATCATTCATGGACTCCGTCATCAAGAAATCAATGAAGCATCAAAACCAGAGGACTGGTTCGCTTCAGCGGCTGAGATGCTCCGTTCAGAACTACGATTGGGGGAAGAGGGGACAAGATTCCCAAGTGGCCAGGCTCTCTGCTTTCAACTCTGGTTCTGGGATCAACCCAGAAAAATCATATGCGGAATTTTGGATGGGAACCCATGAGTCCGGACCTTCCTTTTTGATTCAGAATTCGGATGAGAATAATGGGTTTTTCCCAATTGGGTCTCAGATTCTATCTCTCAAAGATTGGATTTCCAAAAACCCAAATGTGCTTGGTGAGAAGGTGATCCAAAAATGGGGCTCTGACCTCCCTTTTTTGTTCAAGGTAACCTATCGTTTTTTGATTTTTTTTTATTTTTGGGTTTTTTTTGTTTAAAATTTGGGGCTGTGGACTCTGGTGTGGAGTTTTCTTTGTTTGGTTTTTGTGTGTGTGTTGTGTGTGTTTTAGGTGCTTTCTGTGGGGAAGGCATTGTCGATACAGGCACACCCAGATAAGGATTTGGCCAAGATTTTGCACAAGTTGAAGCCAAATGTTTACAAGGATGCTAATCACAAGCCTGAGATGGCCCTAGCCACAACCCACTTTGAGGCTCTGTGTGGTTTCATCACTCCTCAGGTAAAGATCATTTTCATGTGTTCATTTAAATCTCAGAAACGATAACAATCTTAAAATAATTTTTGACTAAAGAGAGCTGTATATTCCCTTCTTAATATCTCTGTCCTATGCCTACTATGCATAATTTTCCTAGACATTGGGTTGGTTTGAATTGTTTGGTTGCTGAGTCTTTTCACGAAAATCATTAGCACTTTTGAATGTTTACGTGCCTCCTTTTATTGTGTTTATTTTGATATTAAACAAAGGTAAACAAATGCCTTGTTCCAAAAAATAAAAAAATAAAAAATAAAAAAACAAGGGTAAACAAATGAGTTGTAATCTTGTCTGGGGCCCATTGAATAATTGGCCATTTACCTTGTCAAAATCAGAATCATGAGGACTATTTAGGCAGATAATGATATAATACCAAATGAGTTAAAAAATTACTTTTTCTCATTCCAACTGTTTAGAAATCAAACCATTTATTTTTGCTTTAATTGGTAAAAAAATCAATAAAATTATTTGCACAGGAAGGCACACAGTTTTTTAATACAAGGGGCTCAAATTTAATAATAAAAAAATACTACGTAAACCATATTATATAAATCACATGATGTGTCGGTTGATGGTTTGATATTTTCATTAATAATTTAAACAATGAATTCACCATCAATTACCACATCATGTTACAAAATATGAATCAAGCAGATTGTCTCTCTAGCATCATCCCAAATTTTTATATATGAACTTCACCTGAATAAACAAAAGTGTCGACAAATGTAATCGGTCATATTTTTTTTTTAAGATCTATTTGTACACACAAAACTTAAATATCTGCTGATGCCCTCTCCAATACTCTACGATAAATAAATAAAACCCGAAATCATAATGCAATCGATTCCATCACTAGTTGAAGTATTAACTTCTATTTCATTAATTAAACTGAGATTATATTTTATAATTGAGGTCAAGAGCAGGTGTAGTGTTACTTTTCAGTCGTTGAGTATCTCTTGCTAGGATACCTTTTTCTTCCCAATTGTTTTTCTTTTCTCAAGGAATATTGCCTTCTGTATGGGGATCTATGTGGCATTCCAACTAATTTTAATTATAATTACACGTTTAATTACAATTATAATTTTTCTATCTTTTTTGACAGGAGCTTAAAGTTGTGCTTGCTAATGTCCCTGAGATTGAAGAACTAATTGGCAGTGAAGAAGCAAAAAAAGTTTCCGGAATCACTGATCAAGACAAGGAGGAGAAAGTAACGTCCGCTCTGCGTTCGGTTTTCACCCACCTCATGTTAGCCAGCAAGGAGATGATAACCACAGTTATTACTAAAATGAAGGATCGTTTACACATCGAAAGTCAGGTTGGCTGATGTGTTTTTCTTCAATGTAACTGTCAAATTATGTTTTTTTCTTCGCCCGTAGGATGATCTGATTGAAGATCCTGCTATGCTCATTCTGGATTTGTGTAACAGTTTTCGCTATTTTGGCAGGCGAGGCGTTTGACAGAGAAGGAACAGCTGGTATTGCAGTTGGTAAAGCAATATCCAACTGATGTGGGTGTTATATCTGCCTTCTTCATGAACCATGTGAAACTTAATCCCGGAGAAGCGCTGTACATCGGGGCTAATGAACCCCACGCCTACATATTTGGTGAGTGCGTTGAGTGCATGGCAACCTCAGACAACGTAGTGAGGGCTGGCCTTACTCCAAAGCATATGGATGTTCAAACCCTTTGTTCTATGCTCACATACAAGCAGGTAAAATACAGCATCCCCGCCGTGGAATTAACACTCTTAACGTCAACTTGTTTGGTGCGGATTTTCCTTGCATTTCGCATGCATGTCTGAAATTTAACGTCTTTTCTTTTGCAGGGGTATCCTGACATTCTGCAAGGAGTTGCAGTAGGTCCTTATGTGACAAGGTATCTCCCGCCTTTCGATGAGTTTGAGGTTGATCGCTGCCAACTTCCGCAGGGAGAATCAGCAGAATTCCCTGCAGCCCCAGGGCCTTCGATTTTTGTGGTCACGTTCGGGGAGGGAATTATATACGCAAGCGATGTTCAAGGGGATGTAATTACAGAAGGAGACGTTCTTTTTGCACCAGCAAACACTCGGATTCGCATAACAGGCGCATCCGAGTTGCAGATATATCGAGCGGGTGTGAGCAGCCTGTTCTTCCAAGCTTGATGAACTTCATTACGCAGTTGCACATCTTTGCTTTAGTGCAAACCACACAAATTATTAATTTTGCATTTTTTCATTTTTTTTACAATAAGCGTATGTAATATGTAATATTAGCACTGTCATGAGAATGCCTGTGCTAGTGTGCCATGAAATATAGTAAAAATATACGAATAAACAATATATCAATTTTAGTAGTTTTTATAAATAAGATCAATTTTTTATACATCAATATATTTATATTACGAGGTGGAAAAATAAATAAGGGTCAAACTCATCATTTATGAGCTTCTAACATTAAACCTTTTACAACCCACACCTTTTACAACCCACCAGTAGTTGGGAGCAAATTTCAGGCCTGTATTCCACTCGGCACACCTTGGGTTCGACTCCTAACGCTGTTGAATCATACGATGGTGGCTAAAGGAGGTTGAAATGCCTCTGTCAGTCTTCTCACCCCCTGGAAGGGTGGACTGTCATAGAGAAGTCACAAGATGGTACCCTTAAATAAATAAAATAAAAAAACTAAAATATCTCATTTACAAGTGAAGAAAAATGGTAGTAGACTGTAGTAGTACTAACTAACATAAATAAGATGGATTTCAATCGTTGGTTAAAGAAGTTAAAAAAAAAACAATGAAGTCAATTTTTCTGTACGCGGTGGTTTGATGACTATTAGGTCTGTAATAATTTACAAACGGGCTAGTAAAATAATAAGCATGCGGCCCAATACTTTGATCTAGTGGGATCATTCTACAGCAGTCCCCATCTAGCAGTTAGTATATAAGTTTTGCTGACTCGCATGTTTTTCTTTTCATGAGTGAACAGTTGAGATTTAACTAAATCTCAATTAGTAAGTCTCAATCGTTCACTCATGCACAAAAAATGTGTAGAGGAGAATTTCCAATAAGTATAAATAGCCAATCTCAAAAATGGTTAAATTCAAGTTCAAATTAAAAGAGAATTTAGAGTTCATTTAGTGCATCGGAATTTTGGTAAAAGTGCTTCTATAAAAAACACATCAACATTTTAAATAAAAATCCAAGTGTTTCCCATAAAGCAATGAAAGTGCTTTCTAAAATCTAGCAGGTGCTTTGCCAAAAAATACTTATATAAACACTTTCTTTCCTTTTTTTTTTTTTTTTTTTTTTTTTTTGGCTAAATGCAATCGAAAGTGCATTTGATTATCGTAAAGTGATTTTAGCCATTTCAAAAACAAAATCAAAGTCTAGAAGACTCAGTTAAATAGAAGATTTATTGTATGTAACAAGAAAACCTTGTAGGGCAAGAATTACTGATGCCAACTGAGATGAGTTAGTGTTAAACATTACAGAAAGACTAAGCAGCCAGAAATGCGGTTTAAAGGTGGAGAAACTCTAGTTAAACAGAACCGGTGAATCCCACTCGACGTAATGTCCATGAAGAAAATAAGGAATGCCATGAGGGAGACAAAAGAAAGTGCAGAAATCACTTCCGTATTTTATCACGTCATTCCCCTGCACTGCATTGAGTTATGTTAGGCTTTAATATTCATTAGTATTTTGGGACTTTTGTAACATGGAGTGCTTTAGCAGTGGACTCACTTTGTGCAACGATGTTAAAATGGCCAAAAACGTCTTAGTAATTAGAATTAGGCCCAAAGTATCCCGAAGGAGAGACCTGTAACGAGTACTTGTGATTCCGTCTTTCTACAGGTTCATATATAAAATTCAAAATTTCAGATTTCTTAATTTCGCTGCCACAACGTATGAATTTTCCTTCTAGTTAAAAGGTACGAGTAAGAACTTAGATCTGCACTGGCAAAAATGACACTGAATACAGTTACCTTCGTAATCATCTAAGTTGCTCTCTCTTCAAATCTTCGAGCCATGATAGGATAGCTTTTGCACCCTTCTCCCGTAAACAATCCAACATCATGTCATGGGCAACCCCTTTAACACAGATAGGAGAGACACCATAAAACCTGCCTGTCTCGTTGAGGCCTTCAGCATCCTTTTACAGGGAAAAACAATAGCGGAAAACAGAAATAAGCAAGCAAATAGTGGAAATTACAGACCAACATGTTTACATTGACAACATTAAAGAAAGAATCAAGTAGTATGTATAAGGAGTTTACCACAATGAAATCATCATTTGCACCCAACACGAGGAGTTCAATAGCTGATTTTGGCACTGAAGGAACTGGCAGCGATGCATTGAGCTTCCGCAGATCAAACAATGGCATTCTTGAACTTTCCTTCATTAGCTCTTGATAGCTGAAAGACAAATAGAACTTTAAAAGTTATCTTCACAAACAAAGACATTTTGGGAAGGAAATTTGTATTTTATGAAAAATCCCACAAAACTGCATAGAAGAAGTATCAAGCAATTAACAAAGACAAAGGGAACCAAAAAGAAACAAACAAGACTACGTGGTTCAGTAAACTTGCCCCTACGTCCATGAGATTACATGGTTCGGTAAACTTGATTACAAGATTCCGTGTCACGATACACCCCCGCCCCCTGAACTATCAAGTTCCTCACTCCATCTATTGTTTTGTGGTTCATTTGTAACTAATTTATCCTATTTCCCATGGTATTTGAAAATTCCTCAACCAAACATAGTGCTTAGTAGTTCTAGTCCTCTGTAGACAACCACCCTCTCTTGGTGTGGACGTTTCTTTTGACACAGACACTCTTGCCTCCTTTAGTGCCTTTATTGCACCCATTTTTAAAAATACACTTCTTAAGTTTTCTGTTCTGATGAGGCTCAGTGTACAGATACACAGTTTATGGGAACTTCAAGCAGAAATATAATTAAGCCGTAGTACCAGGGCAAATTGACTGAATGTGTATGAAATTACTCCATTTCCCGTGCACAAACTAATGCTTAAACTTAATACTAGATATATAATGTTGAACGTCATCTGTCATTTTATGAAATGTGTAAATGACTTGAAAAGAATTGCTGGCAAACAAACCGTAAAACGAGGTGATCCTCCATTGTTGCAGAAAAAAATGTCTCCTTACAAAGAGAAAGAGATGTTTGAAACCCTTTAGCTGCCAAGCTGCGTGTAACCTACTCAAAAGTTCAAACAAAGAATGCCTTAATAATACGTAAAATTAACCTCTATGTCTACTGTTTACACATGAGAAAGCTGAAAGTATTGCGGAAAAGAGCATCACATTTTCTATTTAGATATCCATGAAAACAGTGGTGAACAGCTGTCCAAAGAATGTAAGGGATGATAGGTTGAACAGACTGAGTACGAGTATAAATGAAAAGATGCAACCTCAGAGATATTTAGTCAAAAATGGAACCAGAGTTATGAAGGAAGATATATAATTAAGGCATAAAAAATCTATTAACTAAAGTTTTGTGTAGCAATTTTCCAGTATGAATATGGTATAAAAGAAAGATCAAAACCTTAAAAGCAGCAATAGGTTTGGTGAAGAGATAACGCCACACTAAGCCACTGGAGAAAATCAGAAATGTCAGTCTGGACTAATTACATTCAAATTGAAAGAAAGAGAGGAACAAATAATCAGACAAAGGAAAGTAGGTTAGTTACCTATTACCCGAAGGAGGTACGGAGCAGACAAGCACAGCACCAGTAAGCTTAGGGAACAAATCTCTCTTGTCTAGAATAAGCCAAACAGCACAGAAAAAGAATATATAAGAAATAACCTTGCAAGTAAGAAAAATACTACATAAGATGAAATTCGATGTGCTTATAAGCTATATACCACAGCCCAAGTCAGGAAGGAAACTTGATAGTGCATTCAGTTAAAGTTTGAGTATCAAATATCAAAGTGTGCATTATGGTATCAGCCTATCAGGCAGAGTTAAACTTATCATGATAGAACCCAAAATTACTTGTCTATGATATAATCCGAAAAAAAATTGTAAAAACTATTCAGAATAAACAAAATAATGAGTTACATAGATTATCGCTGTAGGCCGACAGAGCAGTTTCACTATAAAATTAAAGGAGATACAAAGAGAAGCCACAAACCTAAACTCTATCATAATGTTTAAATACTTTGTAAGTTTTCAATGTTTATTGAGGGCTTTTTCACCCCTCCTGCAATACATGATTTAGCCAAACCACATTAAACGTTATGGCTCATGTCTCATCAGTCTGGAGATTTTATTCTACGTAGTTAAAAGTAGAAGTTACCTGAAATCTGGTTAGTTTTAGCGTTTGCAATATAGTATTGAATAATAAGCCCTCCAAAAGAGTGTCCAATCAATACTGGTGGAAGCGTGAGTTTCTTGCAGATGAAATCAGCAACATCACTTGCATGCGTCTACTGCAGAATATGCAGTGAACAGGAATAAGAACAGCATTTTGAGTATGGAAACCATTAGACACAGGCATGCACATACTAGTGAATTCCTAGTAAAAGAAGTCTTTTTTCTAGCGGAAAACTACTTTACCTGGAGAGTACCAGAAACAGAAGCGCTGGGTGCATCACTTTCACCCTGATAAATCAAAGGAGTACTACAAGTCAGAAGCAGACTAGTATAGAAACGATACAACGATGCCAACTCAACGTATCACCCACATACATGCTACTATGTGAAGGGTATAACAACAACCAAGCCTTATCCTACTAAGTGGGGTCGGCTATATGAATCCTAGAAAGCCATTGCGCTCAATTTTGTGCCAAGTCAATGGTATAGATTAAGAATTTAAAAATCAGGATGAAGAAAATAAGAATTTATCTTAGTAATAATTGGGTGTTTGATGGGCATGTTTTGCAGCTTGAAGATCTGTAATTTCGTGAATATAATTATCATACTCCTTTTTTTTTCTTAGCCGTTAGATTAAACAAATCAAAATAAAAAGAAAGAAAAGATAGTGCAAAATTTATTTTCCTTAATTACTAAAAAGGTTTTGGACTAAGAATCTAAGAATCCTATGTTTATTAGACCAGTGATTTGGTAAAAACTCTTCAACGAGTGAGACTTTGTCCTACTGGTCCTGTATAAAGTTAGGTCTGTTTTCTCACAACAATAAACTTTTAAAGTAATCCAGGGTTGCAGAGAGCAGAAAGCTTTGCTTTTGATTCGCTATCTCATGACACTAGGTATTTGTTCTCTTTCATATACTTGATTAAAAGGTTATATTTTTGTTTTGTTTGTTGTTGTTGTTGTGTTACGAATCAAATATCATATTAATTTACATAAAGTTTACATGTTCTATCAAGCCATCGCTCTCAATTTGAGATCCAGAAATAATATTTTAAGTTCATATTTTTGTTTAGCAGAAGCCAATTAGGGTTTTGTTTTTTGCGCCTATAAGTTAACGGGAAGTGATTTCTGCGCACTCTTTTGTTTGGTTACACACCTTCGTTTGTATAATCCCTAACCCTAAAGCCCACAACGTGTACAGTCTTACCGTACCTTTTCAAAACGTGTACGGTTATGTTTTCTGATTGATTTTTGGGTTAGGGTATAACACTTTTAAGAACAATTGAAAATTATTATGTATATGTTTCTTCTTTTTCTTGTAATGCATGTTATTTACATGGTCTTAATGTGTATTGATTTTGTTTTTCCAGTTTCTGCTATGGATTCTTCTTCCGTTGAGACTTTGACTAGGAACAATTTTGCAAAGTGGAAGCTGGACATAGAATTTGCTCTTGGAATCAGGGATCTCGACTTAGCACTAAGGGAAGATGAACCTCCTAAGCCGACTGAGGATAGCTCTGAAGAACAAAGAGAAAAGTATGAAAAATGGGAAAGATCTAATCGCTTGTCTATATTGATTATGAAGAGATTCATGTCTGAGACTGTTCCTGGAAGAATTCCTAGTTGTGACAATGCAAAACACTTCTTAGATACTGTGGAACAAAACGTCAGAGAGTCTGAAAAGGCTGAAACCGGAAACTTAATGAGTTCTTTAACGACTATGAGGTATGATGGCAACAGCAATGTTCGCGAGCACATCTTGAAGATGATAGGTATGGCCAATAAGTTGAAACATTTGGATATTCATATCCCGGATCCCTTTTTAGTTCATATCACTCTTAACTCTCTTCCGCTACAGTTTGGACAACTTAAGACCACTTATAGTGCCCAAAAACAAAAGTGGGAGTTGGATGATTTGATATATATGAGTGTTTTGGAGGAGGAAAGACTTTGTCGTGAGAAGAGACAAGGGGAAAATCTTGTGTTCAATAGGTAAGGTAATCAATCCTGAAGAGCAAAGAAGACTATCAAGTTCAAGTGCTTTTCTGCAAAAGTGAAGACCAAAGGAAGAGGTATTGTCACTAGTATAAAAACTTGGCTCAACAATAGAAAAGGAATTGAAAGAAAGAAGGTACGAATGATATATATATGATGATGATGATGATGACATGAAAGTTTGAAGTTTGAATTTTACGAATGATATATATATATGTGCTTTCCCATAACTGTAGGATTACATCAAGGCTCATCCTTAAGTCCTTACCTTTTTGCGTTGGTAATGGATGAGTTAACAGGACATATTCAAGATGATATTCCTTGGTGTATGCTTTTCGCAGACGATATAGTGTTGATAGATGAAACTGATGAAGGGGTAAATGCAAAGCTTAACCTTTGGAGAGAAGTGTTGGAATCTAAAGGTCTTCGCCTAAGCCGATCAAAGACAGAATATATGGAGTGCAAGTTCAGTGCAAATGAAGGCCAAAACGAGTTAGGGGTGAGGATCGGAGATCAAGAAATACCAAAGAGCGACCGTTTTCGTTACCTAGGATCTATCTTGCAAAAGAACGGAGAATTAGATGGAGATCTCAACCATAGAATACAAGCTGGATGGATGAAGTGGAAGAGTGCATCTGGCGTGTTGTGTGACCGCCGTATGCCACTGAAGCTCAAGGGAAAATTTTATAGGACGGCAATAAGGCCGGCGATGCTGTATGGCACAGAATGTTGGGCGGTGAAGCATCAACACGTACACAAAATGGGTGTAGCGGAGATGAGGATGCTTCGTTGGATGTGTGGGGCACACGAGAAAGGATAAGATTAGGAATGAGGATATCCGGGGTAAAGTAGGAGTAGCCGAAATTGAAGGAAAGATGAGAGAAAATCGGTTACTGGTGGTTTGGACATGTGCAAAGAAGGCCTACTGACGCTCCGATTAGAAGATGCGACTATGGACAGAGGTTCAGGCCGAAGGGGTAGAGGAAGACCTAGGAAAACTTTGGAAGAGACTCTAAGAAAAGACTTAGAGTACTTGGATCTAACGAAGGACATGACACAGGACCGAGCACAATGGCGTTCTAAGATTCATATAGCCGATCCCACTCAGTGACTTGGATTTTCCAAGTCTCCAACCGAGAAGTTTTCCTCACTCGGAAAATTTAAGGGGAACACTACCCCAACCTACATGCTCCACTCAGAAAGCTTCAACATACAAGCTTCAACAAAAGAAAATTCAAAGAACTTAGCGAAGAAGGCTTTGGTGTATTTAACACAATACGTTGAAATGAAGGAAAAGCTTATTTATTGATATCCCCGATAAGCTACAAATATGTACATATACATGAGTCAAAATAAACAAACAAGATGGAGCCTTCACAAAGGTTGCTTAGGAGAAGTCTCAGCAGTCGGTAGAGCCCCAGAAAAGAGAAGGCATCGGAGGGGGATCATTCGGAGCCTCAGTACTGGACAGAACCCTAGAAGGAGGAGGCATCAGAGGTTGATCATTTGGAGCTTCATTACGCGGTACAGCCCCAGAAGACGAAGGCAATAAATGCCTTTGGAACAAACCCACAAATCTCTGATGATCAAGTAAAACCTGACCATCAGTTTCCTTCATCTGGTCAAGCTTCCTCTTCATGTTTGTAGCATAGTCATGTGCGAGCCGGTGCAACTGTTTATTCTCATGCTTGAGCCCTCTAATCTCCTGTTTGAGACTCATCACTTCGGTCGCCAATGATTCAACTTGGCGGGTTCGAGCAAATAGGCGTTGGGCCATATTAGACACAGAACCTGCACACTGAACACTGAGAGCCAGCGAATCCTTAACAGCTAACTCATCAGACCGTTTGGAAAGTAGTCTGTTATCTTTGGGAGTGAGAAGGTTCCTGGCCACCACCGCAGCGGTCATATCATTCTTCATCACGGAATCCCCAACGGTAAGAGGACCAGTAGGGGAGACGAAGGATGGGCGCCATATGTTGTCTGGAGAAGGCGGGGCTGCCTCTTCAACAAGGTTCAAGTCAAAACGACGGTCGGAGGGGCCAGACATTTTCAAAGGTGTTGAAGAGAGAAGAGGTCGGACAAATCAAGATCTTAGAAGTGCAAGAATAGGAGCTTCTACTGGTGGAGATTCAAGTGTGCTCTGGAACTTAATGCCAGCCCCTATAAAAAGCTGCACTCGACGGAGCTTCAGACATCGAAGAGGCGCCTGCTCAGAAATCGAAGAGGGCGTTTGCTTTCTCAAAAGCTGGGCTGCTTAGAGACCACAAGGGTTGATCTCATAAATCGAAGAGGTGTTTGCTTTCTCAAAAGTTGGGCTGCTCAAAGACCACGAAAGCCGATCTCAGAAATCGAAGAGGGGCTCGCTGTCTCAAAAGCTGGGCTCCTCAGAGAGACCACGAGGGCCGATCTCAGAAATCGAAGAGGGCACCTACTTTTCCAGCCTTGTCAGCACCTGTCACACGCACACTCAGCTTTGCGGAAATTATGGGTATTCTGTCGAAGACTTCTGGGGAAGTAGAAAACACATGAATCTTACTGTCCAATCACCCACTTCCCACACGCAACAATAGCTCATGGGTACCACAGATAACTTTGCCAAAGTTCTCTGCCAAAGTTCTCTGCCAAAGTTGAGCACGTGAAGCTTGCAGCTCCCACTACATCGCTCTGACCAAGAAGGGTAAAAGAATAGCAAAGAAACAGCACTAACAAAGTTTAGACCCATAAATTTTGAAGGTCTAGCTACCATATTATTACCCACAAGGGTAAAGGAACAGTACCACTGCTGGATAATTGGAAAGTCCCTGTGTGTCAACCTCTGTTCCTCGTGGCAAGGTAGACTAGCAAACATGCCCAACCTTTACTCACATTCGAGAAAACACTCCCAATAAGATTGCTTGCTCCAAAATCGAAGAGGCACCGTCCTCCGAATCTCGAGAGCAAGACTCCCAACATGACTACTTTCTCAAAAATCGAAGAGAGGGTAAAGGAACAGTACCATTGCTGGATAATTGGAAAGTCCCTGTGTGTCAACCTCTGTGCTTCGTGGCAAGGTAGACTAGCAAACATGCCCAACTTTTACTCACATTCGAGAAAACACACCCAACAAGATTGCTTGCTCCAAAATCGAAGAGGCACCGCCCTCCGAATCTCGAGAGCCAGACTCCCAACATGATTACTTTCTCAAAAATCGAAGAGACACTGCTCCCCGAATCTCGAGAGCCAGACCCCCAGCATGATTGCTTTCTCAAAAATCGAAGAGGCATCGTTCTCCGAATCAATCGAAGAGGCGCTCGCTTTCTCAAAAGCTGGGCTGCTCAGAGACCACGAGGGCCGATCTCAGAAATCGAAGAGGCACCTACTTTTCTAGCCTTGTCAGCACCTGTCACACGCACACTCAGCTTTGCGGAAATTATGGGCATTCTGTCGAAGACTTCTGGTGAAGTAGAAAGCACATGAATCTTACTATTCAATCACCCACTTCCCACACGCAACAATAGCTCATGGGTACCACAGATAACTTTGCCAAAGTCTCTGCCAAAGTTGAGCACGTGAAGCTTGCAGCTCCCACTACATCGCTCTGACCAAGAAAGGTAAAAGAATAACAAAGAAACAGCACTAACAAAGTTTAGACACATAAATTTTGAAGGTCTAGCTACCATATTATTACCCACAAGGGTAAAGGAACAGTACCACTGCTGGATAATTGGAAAGTCCCTGTGTGTCAACCTCCGTGCTTCGTGGCAAGGTAGACTAGCAAACATGCCCAACCTTTACTCACATCCGAGAAAACACTCCCAACAAGATTGCTTACTCCAAAATCGAAGAGGCACCGCCCTCCGAATCTCGAGAGCCAGACTCCCAACATGATTACTTTCTCAAAAATCGAAGAGACACTGCTCCCCGAATCTCGAGAGCCAGACCCCTAGCATGATTGCTTTCTCAAAAATCGAAGAAGCATCGTTCTCCGAATCTCGAGAGCCAGATACCACATACCACTTTTTTCAAAGTGCTCTGACAGAGTTAAAACATGTGAAGCTGGCAGCTCCCACTACCGTGCTATGACCAAGCAGGGTAAAGGAATAGCATTACTACTTGTTGTTAGGGAGACCCTATATATGTCGACCTCCATCCCCAACGGACAGGCAGACCTGCAAAAATGCTCAACCCTTCCTCATATCTGAGAGGGCACTCCCAACGAAGCCTTTCGAAATATTCAGCTTTCTTTCCCCCCGATAATATCTCTGCAAACAAGCTATACTAGAGCAAGAATATCTCATATCATCAGGGTTAAAAGCAAGAGTATCCCATATCATGCTTTTTCCCTGTCTTTTCCTTTGGCCTTGTTTTTACCTGCAAGACAAGGAGAAAGAGAGCAATCAGTCAGCACTTGAAATCAAGCTCCCAGCCAGGAACTGACTGCCTGGAACCCCTTACCTGATTACTTACCTGGCATTGCTCTCGAGTACTCATCTTCAACATCTTATGTTTCTAGGGAAGATACCGCATCTGCTTGAGGAACAGATAGGGCAAGTGCGAAGGATACAAGGAAGCATGTGGAGACAAGCGTAACAGCACACACGTGCCGATACATCCATTACTCTGTCAAAAGCAAAAAGTATCCATATCAGCAAGGTCGAACGTACTCTAGATTTGATGGACTTGTTTTGACCCTCAAATTCTTCAGTCGGCCTTATACTCTGGAGGAAATCAGAAAACCCTCCAGCTCAGTTCAAGAATAAGCCTGTGGAAAGTTACTTCTTCAAAAGCAAAAGTATCCCATATCATCTCTTCTCATTTTTCTTCTCTTTATCCTTCATGCTGCTGCAAGATGGGGAGAAGGTGAACAATCAGCCGGTGCTCTGATTGCTTACCTTGTCTGTCACCTCTTTCAGCAGATCTCCTAGCTCGGCGACTTGGGGGACTCCTACTACATGGTTTGTATCGCGCTTGACCAAGCCTGAAACTACAAGTAAGCTTCAAGTGAAATTGATACATTACCTTGTGCATCTCCACCAGTTAAAGATACCACCCCTGGATGGAGGAAGAGTACTTCCAGAGAAGCTGCCACATCTACCTATGAGACAGATAAGGCAAGTCAAGATGATACCACACTCCGATACTTAGAAGTTTTGTGATTACGAGATCGTTCTCCCACAATATTTCCTAATGTCACTTGTACTCTAATGTCATTTGTACTCTAATGTCATTTGTACTAAATCATTCACTTGTACTCACTAAAGGAGAGCTTGAACCTATGTACTTGTGTAAACCCTTCACAATTAATGAGAACTCTTCTATTCCGTGGACGTAGCCAATCTGGGTGAACCACGTACATCTTGTGTTTGCTTTCCTATCTCTATCCATTTATATACTTATCCACACTAATGACCGGAGCAATCTAGCGAAGATCACAAAAAGTGACCGTTTTCGCTACCTAGGATCTATCTTGCAAGAGAACAGAGAATTAGATGGAGATCTCAACCATAGAATACGAGCTGGATGGATGAAGTGTAAGAGTGCATCCGGTGTGTTGTGTGACCGTCGTAGGCCACTGAAGCTCAAGGGAAAATTTTATAGGACGGCAATAAGGCCAGCGATGTTGTATGGCACAGAATGTTGGGTGGTGAAACATCAACACGTACACAAAATGGGTGTAGCGGAGATGAGGATGCTTCGTGGGATGTGTGGGCACACGAGAAAGGATAAGATTGAGAATGAGGATATCCGAGGTAAAGTAGGAGTAGCCGAAATTGAAGGAAAGATGAGAGAAAATCGGTTCCGGTGATTTGGACATGTGCAAAGAAGGCCGACTGACGCTCCGGTTCGAAGATGTGACTACGGGACAGAGGTTCAGGGCCGAAGGGGTAGAGGAAGACCTAGGAAAACTTTGGAAGAGACTCTAAGAAAAGGCTTAGAGTACTTGGATCTAACGGAGGACATGACACAAAACCGAGCGCAATGGCGTTCTAGGATTCATATAGCCGACCCCACTTAGTGGGAAAAGGCTTTGTTGTTGTGTTTTGTTTTCTTATTTTTTGCTATAAATATTTGATAAGTTTTTGTTTTTCGTTTCCAAACTTTACGTGTTTTTTTTTTTTTTGAAGTGAACGATAAGGGGAGGGGATGGGCTTAGCCTCACAATGGGCTAGCAATAATGTGGTTTATTCAAACCTAAGACCTTTCATTTACAAGTGAAGAGGAATATCACTAGACTGTAGTACTATATGACCCAAACTTTACGTGTTTACTCATTGCTTCTTCCTTAACTTTTGGAATTAAAACTTGACTCATAACTACCACAGGCTGATGCTAGTAGTGTCGATGAAGAACATTTTTTTACCAAACCCCTAAAAAAGTTACGACGGTAAACCCATAAATCATAATTCACCAAAAGAAATAAACTCTATCCCTTTATTGTGGTCAGTGTTTCCATATAATACCTGTCATCTATAATCCAAAATTCAATACAAAAACAAAAATGTCAGCATATACGAATCCATGTAATCAAATTCTTACAGACTACTCTGATCAAATAAACATTCAAGTTATGGAATTGACAACCACAAATGAGACATCTAATCAGACAGGAAAAAAAATGGCAATTAATCAACAGAGCGGAGCATAAAAATGGAAGGCACTCACCTGACCCAACAAGCTAACTGCATAGCAATCATACCCAGAAGCCGAAAAGAAAGGGAGCCAGTGCTCAGCCCAGCACCAAGCAGCGTGGTAGCTTCCATGGACGAAAACTAGAGGTGGGTTTTCACTTGGTCTCTCTTTTTCCTCGTCTGATTGCTTTTCTGCAACTCTTTTGTGCACGATTACCTCCATGTTCAGGCCGGAGGGGAGCCGGTGGAAAAGACGGGATTGTTCCTGTTTGAGCTGGTAAGGGACTCGCATTCTGCGGGCTCCATGGAGGGCTGCCCTGGGCTTTATGGTAACCCTCCGGGAAGAGAGGTTGGGATGAAGTTGGGAGATAGTGCGGAGGGAGAGGACAGCAGCCATTCACGTGAAACTGATCTCGCCCCTTCCACTTCGAGAGACTTGGCACTGGTTTGGTGATTTTAAACAATCTCATAAGAACATCTCCAACCTTGGGTTAAAAATTAAATTTTTAAGCCCGAAAATTTTGGCTTTTAGCCCAGAAATATTTTTTCTGCTCCAATCCTTCTAGCCTAAAATTTTAACTTGGAATTATTAAAAAATGAACTTAGGCTAATTTTTTTCTTAAATCAATTTTTTTTTTAAATAAATATGTAGACTATTGTAAATTAATTTTATTAACATTTTAATCTAAAAAAATTTAAATTCCGATAAATATTGAAAAATCATTAAATTTTTCACAAAGCAAGCTTTCAACTTTCACCAATCTTAATTAATAAGACATAAATTTAATAAAGTACATAAACCACATAATAAACAACATAAACTTAATACAAACGACAATTAATAAACTTAATTAATAAAGCACATAATTCATACACTACATAAACTTAACAATCATATCCACCATCTTCACTTGGTGATGGACTTCGTTGAAATGTTAGGATATAGGGTTCAAAGGATTCATCATCTTGAAATATACTCCTTGAGGCAGACTTTCGCATAATTTCCTTTTGCTTATCACGTAAGAACTTCTTCCTCTCTGGAGTGTATTTGTTGAGGTCCTTCATCATGAATTCAATTTCAATCCTATTTTCCTCCCTATCCGAGATTTCCTTCATTTGCAAACGCATTCGGACCACTTCTTCTTGGCGAGCGCTATGAGTTTCGTGCAATTTTGCAATTCCAATAGCAAAGTCTCCCCTCATCGAATCTTGGGCCTTCCCTTTTCTCTTTGCTTCCTTTTGCTTATCTCTTCTTGGGGGCCTAGCTAAAGAAGGAGATTGGGTCATTTCATCGACACCTTCATCAACACCTTCATTTCTCGGTGCGGCTTCACGTTGAAATAATCTTCCCCATTATTGGTCTGCATCGATTGCCCACCTTGGACAATCCTTGAGGACGTCCCAAGCATGTTGCAACTTAAAAACTTGATTTTTTGGTGTTACTCTTGTCTTGTAAATTTCCATTGCTTTGTCACCCTATGCAAAAAATACATAAAAATAATTAGTTGCAAAATAATATTATGTACATGACAAATAAAATATCAAGAAAAAAACTCACAATTTCTATGGCGCTCCTTCCACTAGGCATGCCAACCATGGCTCTCTCCAAGCTTCCCTTCCATAAAGTGCATGCTTTGTTGATAGTCTTCCACCGATCATAAACATCACCACCATCCCGCCTGCCGCCGTTGCAGTTTTCTTGAAACTTTGCAATGATTTTATCCCACAAAACCTTTTTATTTTGATTTGTGCCAACTGCACCATCTTCACTAACAGAAACCCATGCCAAGTATAAAGAAACATCTTCCTCAAAGGTCCAATTATGACCTCTAACATGCTCTCTTGCCATGTTGAACAATTTGGAAATGGAAAGAAATGATAGAAAGATAAATTGGAAGAATTGTAGGAGAAAATTGAATTTTGTGATGTTTGAACAAATACATAGGTATTTATAGAGTTTTTGGGTAAATTTTGTGTTAAATAAATTTATTTAATTATTTTAGCCGTTGGATTTTAATTTGGGCCGTTAGATCTTTTTTTTTTACTGTTAGATTTGAGTATATTCAATCTCAACCGTTGGATTCAATGTATTTTAAAATAACTTATTTTTTAAAAATGAAATTTAAATCTAGACCGTTGGATCAACCAACGATCCTTAAACAATGGCCGTCAGATGCGGAAAAGAGCCGTTGGGCTCGGGCAAGTGGCCGACATGGCCCTGATGCTGGGTCTCACGCTGTCGGGAACGAAACGCAGGCGCTCCGCGTGGGGCGCGTTGGAGTGTGAACGGGCCGAGAGTGGCCCAAAGGCCAGCGAGTCCAATCGCGCAAGGGAGGAAAGCTGGGGGGGTATTTGGCCCAGAATAACATTTGGCATTTAGCTCAAAATTTTAACATGGGTTGGAGAGTGTTTGGAAGGGGTAATTTGGCTTTTAGCCCAGGTTTGGAGTTGGTCTAAAGGTGTTAAAATTAATTATTTTCATAGTTTTGGGTAAAAGAAGAACGTGAAGTAGCAAAAAATGAGTTTATTCTCACATCATAACAGAAGTAGTTTTTTTTCAAAGCACAGCAATACCAAACTAGTCCTACCTTTCATCTTGAACGAGACTACAACCATATCCCAAACTAATAATTAACTGTCAAAGAGAAAAATTAAGGGCTTATTATATTAATAATCTACAAATTGTTGAATAAACTTCACATATTTAATACACCTCATATTTGCTTTTTCAATGGAAAATTATCTTAATACACCCCACGTGCTTCCCCATAATACCCTCACACCTCACATTTTCAATATACACCTTATATTTTCTACATGCACCCCATATTTTCTATACACCCCACATTCTCAAATCTTATAAAGCTTTTAATTTGGACAAAAAATGCCGACTGGAATTTTGACAAAAAATGTCGCCTAAGATTTAAAGCATATGTGGGTTGTTCTCAATTCCACCATTAAAACTCATGTTGTCTGTTTTTAATATTTGGTGGTAATTTTAGGTGTTTAATTCTTTATGTAATCCCCTGTGATCCCTAAAAGATGAATATGAACATAGAAGCTTGAATAACGCAGCAAAAACAAGATTAAATAATTATCGATGTCGTCAAAATCACTAAAACAATAAAGAATATGAAGTCTTACCTCATGTGAAGCTTCCGAAACATCGATTTCATGTTTTATTCGTCAAAAATAATTTTTCTCAATCAACATGTTTGTAGTTTCATTGATTAGGGTTTTGTTCAACAATGGAGGGTCGGAGAGATTTTGATAGTTAAAGAAGATAAATAATATGTTAAAAGTGATTTGGGATGTATTTAGAATTTTTTTTTATAAACCTAATAAGGTCAAAATTACCATTGCTTAGTAGGGTAAATAAGTAATTTAATATTAAATTTTAATGTGAGGTGCATTCAAAATTTTGTGGGGTGCTAATATAAAAAGCAAAATATTATGAATACTTTTTATTTATTTATAGGACTAGTTTGTGGATAGTTTGTGGTTTTGGGATTGCAGTCCATTCTTTCAGGTGTTAAAAAAATTCACATAGGTATTTCAGTCTTTTTTGGGCATTATCGTGTGATTTACCAGCAATAAGAATCAAACTCAGAACGTGTGATTCAACAGCTTGCCCCTAGCCACAAGCCTTCCCCTTAGCCATCATCGTGACTCAGAGGCATTCAGCCTCTCCTGACCACCATCGTGTGACTCACCATTTGGTAAATTGGTATGCAACTCATTCCTGGCTAAGAAAGTTAGCATTCCCTGCAGCCCGCTTGTACTGCGTTTGTTTTTACCTTTCTGAGTGGACCAAAGAAAGGAAGAAAAATGACAATTCATAAATTGAACAGGTCCTTCGTTCCTCAAAGCTACCATAAAATACAAACCATATTGAACAGGTTCTGATAAAATGAAATTCCAGTTTTAATTAAATCAACCAGCAATTTAACTAACCATAATCTTATAGGCGGATGTGGCTTCAGTGCTACGCAACTTCTAGAAAAAAAAGTGAGAATTTCATTCACCAAGCAAGAGGAAAGCAAATTTCAAAAGCTCCAGCCTCTCGTATGAAAATGGAGGAATAGAGTTTGCAGTGTGCCATAAATAATACAATAATCCAATGTTATTCACCAAAGAGTCTGCATATTCACAATAGACGCATCCAGTGCTCCTTTTTCTTCCCCCCCCCCCCCCACCCCTTTTCTGAAACACACGTCAAGAACATGAATGCGGGTGCTCACAAATGCGCACGGAGAAGTTAGCTGCCTGTTAATTTTTCACTGTGCTCACTAAGCCATGAAAGGATGTCGCTAAAAACTCGATTTATCATTGCATCTGACTCACCCTCCAGAAGGGAATGCCATGCATCCATGTAAAGGATGAGCTTCTTGTCGGAACTGCTTGCTTTCTCATACAGGGCCTTACTTACAGATGGATCAGTTACAATATCAGCCTCTCCATGCAGGATTAATAATGGAAGAGAGACCTGGAATGAGATTTAATATAAGTGACCCAATAAAGTTAGAATTCTATGTGCTACTGCTGCTAAATTACTGAAATCAACTGAACTTTTCGGGTAAAACATAATATCTGAAATTTCAAATAAATTTGTGTATTTGTTGAAAAGACAGTCAACTAACACCGTTGTCCAGTCCCCAGCACCATCCTGAAATGATAAGAAACTACCAACTTTCATACAGTTTTGCGTTTCACTAACATATATTGAATCTACCGGAAATTTCATAAAGATGTATAGGGCTTTGTTGACAGAAAGATAATAGCATAGATTTACTGGCTGTGAAGGTCCTAAGTAGTAGTACGTCTTGGTTCTAGAGTTAAATAGGGGTCTACAAGCAAGACTCAGGTCTGTTCTGAGTGCAATACCATCGATTTTCATTGGTCTAAAAGAAATGAAGCCCAACCGGAAAGTTCACTAAGCCAAAGCTGAACCAAATAGGGTTATGTCAAGCTGGATACAGAAGAATGGTTTCTACGAAAACACATCACCAATGGTCCATGGAAATGTGGTGTATTTGTCTTGTGCTACTTCGTATCACAAATCACGATCTACAAGAGCTGTAGGTTGTATATGAAAATATTAAAGTCGTTTTTTATTTCTTCTTTGAATTTGTAATCCAGTCAAACTGTACTGAGTTAAAGTTATTTCAAATTCAGATCCAACCAAACATCCGAGGATTCAGCTTAATAAGAATTACCACCTAGTTATGTAGACGCCTGAACTGTTAACGGCCTCAAAGAACAAAGAAGAGATTAGGAATATGCAGCAATAGGCGTTACTTATTAAGGGAAAAGGTTCACACTGAATATACTGGATAGAACTTGATGCAATCAAAGAATATTAAAATGGTGATTCAGTTGATTTAGAAATTAACTGTAATAAAAGAGGAGTCATGGATTAGCATACTTCTTCCAATCGGCGTTCTATCTCTTCAGTAGTTCG